ACCACAGGCACCCGCCACAACGCCCCGCTATTTTTTGGTTGCAGCCTTCCTTGTTGTTTGGCGGGCCTGGGCTGGATTTGAACCCACCACCTTAGGTGTGGATGTGGCTGGTGCCTTAGCTGCTTAAGCCACAGGCGCTGAGCCAGAGACATCTTATTCTTAAAGAAGGCCACATCCCACCCTTTCTTGGTAACAGACCTGCTGATATTGAGCCTAAAGAATTGGGCTTGGGGAGAGTACAACAGGGTGGGCAATACTGGTTTGGGAGCTGAGGAATTTTTTTCTCAGCTCTCTCTTTTTAAAATTATTGTTTCAGGTTAATTTGAGGGTACAGAGAATTAGGTTACAATGTTTGCATTTGTTAGGTAGAGTCCCTCTTGTAATTGTGCCCCACCCCCTCTCAGCTCTCTTAGTAGAGCCCATGGCCTTATGGAATCATCATAGTATATTATCATCAGAGAGGACTGTCCTCTCTTCATTTTTATACCCGAGAACACCTATTCCTGCCCACGGGGTGAGGCTGCCGAGCCTGCACACCCGGCCTCTGTCTCATGCTCCTTCACTGCAGGAAAGTCCCTTGGTCCCTTCATTTTATTTAACAACAATAGCAACAAGAAAGAATCTTACATCCTGGGACAGATGATGCGATTTGTTTCGTTCTGTTTTGATCACAAGGATTATGTCAAAGTAATTTAGAACATGTTTGGAAGAAGATGTGAAGGCTTGAAAAATAACCCTCTTTCCCCCGCTTTCTTCTACTGAGTTTTCATTAACCTTGGCAACTCTGTTATGCACGGGCCCATAAACTCCTGAATGGAAAGACTTGGAAGTGAAAAGACACAACAAGCGAACCTTGAGGATGGGCTTTTTACTTCTCCCGCCTCCCGACTTAATGTTCTCTATGCGGTCGGCGTGGGCGGTGATATCCCACATGACGATCTGAAACGGAAACCAATGTCAGTGTAACATCTTCAGGAAATAGTTAATCAATCGCGTCTTAAAGATTTTTTGGAAAACTATTGGTTATGCAGCCTGATAAATCAATCACCTTTGAGGATAATAACATTAAGCCTATGTCTTCAGTAACTCAGCACCTTTTAAAGGTAATGTAAAAAAGCGTGTTTTTTCTATAAAAGTATCTTCAGCACTTTGATTTTTGTGCTTGTGTTAATAAATTCTAACATTAAAAAAATCCAATATGAATGTCAGGCAATTTCCTTTGCTGTGGTCAGAGTTCTCCCCCTGTTGTGGGAAATGTCCAGTGATTGTGGAGACAGTTACTTTAGACAACTGAGTAAGCCCATTCTCCAGAATTAAGTATAAATACGCAATTATCTAAAAACAGCTGGGAAATAATTTCTTTTTAATTGAATAGTATGACCAACTCTGAATTCGTATATATCTGTATGGTCAGTTTTTGAAAAATCAGAATAAAGTAGAATATGTAATACTAAATTAGATTAATTTCTAATGGTTAAAAGGTATTTCAGTACACTAGAGTGTTAACAAATTATCAGGGTTATTAAATTGTGAGTGGTTTTATTTTTATCTTGTGCTTTTTTAGAATAGTCTGAAACAGTCGAGTGTGGTGGGAGGGCAGGCCTATAGTCCCAGATACTCAGGAGGCTGAGGTGGGAGGATGGCTTGAGCCCAGGCGTTTGAGGCTGAAGGGGACTATGATTACACTATTGCACTCCAGCCAAGACGGTGTAAAACCCTGTCTCTAAACATAAAATAAAATAAAATGCTCAGAAACAAAGTCATATTACCTTTTTAATGAGTAAAAAAGGCCCTTCAGGATTTCCAGGGGTTGGGGGCTAGGCTCTGAGCCATCCTTACGACCACCAGTTATTATTGAACAGAATTGAAGGAGAGAAATTTGGTTGCCTGCTTTTTTTGGTTCTGGATCAATGGACATGGAAGTTGTAGACATTTAAATTTCAACCACAAGGAAAATTTTCTAGCCACACACAGAAGGATCACATACCCTCTTAATGGTCAAACCCAGTCAATCAGAATGAATTTAAACTTTGATCATAAAACAGCATTAAGATGTTTGGTTTGTTTTATCAGAGAAACAAGATATGGGAGGACAGGATCTAAATTTTTTATAACTTAGAGAACTTAAGAAGGAAAGAAAAAAAGCAACCGTGATGTCAAATTTCACATACATAAATTCGATGATGTTTGTGTGCTTTCCAGGGAATTTCTAGTTAAATTCTGGATCATCCTAACTCCTCCCCACAAAGAAATTTCAGAAGAGGCCTTTTCTTCCCCCAAAGGTAGTATGCTTGTAGCTTTGTTCCTCCATAAGTCTTAATAGGATCTGTGGTTCCATCCCAGCAATACAAACAGATGTGACCCAGCTCTATTTCAGTTATGTAACTGGGTTACCCTGTAAGTAACATCCCTCCAGTGTAGGTGTCATAGCTCACAGCAACCTCAGACTCTGGGCTCAAGCAATTCTCTTGCCTCAGCCTCCCGAGTACCTGGGACTACAGGTACCTGCCAAAACGCCCAGCTATTTTTAGAGGTGGGGGTCTTGTTCTTGCTCAGGGTGGTCTCCAACCTGTGAGCTCAGCCAATCCACCCACCTCAGCCCTCCGACTGCTAGGATTGCAGGCGTGAACCACCGCACCCAGCCTGCATCATCTTTATGTCCTAATTCTTGGCATGGTGATTGGCACACAATTTCCATGCCTTCCTTCTGTTAAGCTGACTCCTTAAGTTTAAAAACTACCAAATCAGAACTCATTACAGAGTATTGTCTACCTTGATACACAGCTGAAACAATTCTATAAGTACCTGTCCATTTATGCATCCTCCAGCGATGATGTTAGGGTCACTCGGACAGAACTGGAAACAGAAGATGTCATCTGGGCCCTCCAGCATTAACTGAAATAAACCCCACAAATTCAAGAAAGAATGAGAAAAGCTCGTATGATTAGTGCTAGAAAATGATATTAAGACAGTTAAAAGTCTAACTTTATAGTTATCTATAAGTAATGCTCATGTAGACGCTATTTCCAGAGTCCTACCTCTGGATCGGAAGCTGCTTTTGTTGAATTTTCTTGTGGACATTGGTCGTATGTTTGGAAGTGTACTCTCAAAGGGATTCAGGTCTCTCCCCTCACTTACCCTCCATTGCAGACAAAGTATAGGCAATTTGGGGGGCATGTTATCATTTTTATAAATGAAAAAGCTATCAGATGTGTGTTTCTGAAAGATGCGGAAGGCAAGCTCTGAGTGGGCAGGATCTTTGTTCTGTTCCCGACCTTACACCTAGACGGACATATACCGGGCATTCAAGATAAGATGGGGCTCGGCGCCTATAGCTCAGCCGGCTAAGGCGCCAGCCACGTACACCTAAGGTGGCGGGTTTGAATCCCCAGCCCGGACCTGCCAAACAACAATGACGGCTGCAACCAAAAAATAGCCGGGCGTTGTGGCGGGCGCCTGTGGTCCCAGCTACTTGGGAGGCGGAGGCAGGAGACTCGCTTGAGCCCAGGAGTTGGAGGTTGCTGTGAGCTGTAATGCCACGGCACTCTGCCCAGGGGGACAGCTTGAGGCTCTGTCTCAAAAAAAAAAAAAAAAAGATAAGATGGAGTTATTACAGTAATATTTCAAATTTTAAAATAATGCAGAACCCAGAAGTCAAGCAAGTCCTGCAGGGAACGCAAGCCTGAAGCAATCATTATATTTATAAGAGCGGATACCAGTGCTACCGTGTTACCCCAAAGCAAAATATCGCCATGTCGATCATTCTTTAAACATAACAGCCAAAAACATAGGCCCTACTAAGCCATTGTTTTGTTTTGTTTGAGGCAGAGTCTCACTTTGTTGTCCTTGGTAGAGTACTGTGGCATCATAGCTCACAGCAACCTCAAACTCTTGGGCTCAAGCGATCCTCTTGCCTGTGAGTAGCTGGGACTACAGGCGCCCACCACCATGACTGGCTCTGTTTAGGTACGGGGTCCTTCTCTGGCTCAAGCTGGTCTCAAACTCCTGAGCTCTGGCAATCCACCAGCCTCCGTCTCCCAGAGTGCTAGGATTACAGGTGTGAGCCACTGTGCCCAGCCTTAGGCCATTATTTTAACACCATAGGGCTAAAGTTTTCAAACTGGAATTGGGGGAAAGATAAATTATCTTGGTTTATGTGGCACTTTGTGGAGTCTCTACCCAGGGTGACAGAGAGTCTGTCTCAAATAAATAAATACATAAATAAAATAAAGACTTGGTGATTTGCTTAAAAAACCAAGGGTAGGCTTCAGTTTTGTTTATGTTGAATGATGACAAGTTCTTCATTGAAGAAAGCCAAAATTTTACATGAGTTTGCAACAGAAGTTGACCGTAAAGTGATATCTGAAAATCTAGGCTACATGGCTACTCTCCTTGATTACCTGAGGATGTATAGGATCAGAGAAACTCCAGAGAAGAATCAACGAGGGCTGCAGCAATAATTTACCAGAATTCAGGACTCTGTCTTCGAAGGAGAGTCGCACGGCCACTGACACGGCGATCAGCCCTGAGCAACACACAAGCGGAAATCAAAGCCAACAGCAGCTGGGCGTGCAGAGACGTTTCGAGCTTTTGCTTTTCTACGTCCTAACGAATCATTTCCATTTTGATGAAATTCCAGTAAAAATATTCCACAGGAGACTAAGAGTTTGCTCAAAGCTCTTCTATTTAATATGGTAGCTACTGGCCACATGTCACTTGTTTAGCCATGGAAATCGGGCTGGCTCGAACTGAGACGTGCTAGTTAGTTAGACCTGTGTTAGTATAAAATATACACAGTGGGTTTAGAAGATTCAGTGGGAAGGGAAAAGCTTTGCTTTGCTTCTTTTTTTGTGAGAAAAGGATCAGTGGAGAGTGGAGGAAGGAGAACAAAGACCTCTCTCTTTCCGTGCTCTCACTGTTACACGTTGCGCCCTCCCTTGACTGCTGACCCTTTAAAGCAGCGGTTCTCAACCTGTGGGTCGCGACCCCTTTGTAACGATGAAAATACATCCAGCACATCAGATATTTACATTACAGTTCACAAGAGTAGCAAAATTACAGTTATGAAGTAGCAATGAAAATGATTTTATGGTTGGGGGTCGCCACCACACGAGGAACTGTATTAAAAGGGTCGTGGCATTAGGAGGCATTAGGAAGGTTGAGAACCACTGCTTTAAAGGAAGTGTGTTTCCTACCTTGTCCAGTAATCAGAACAGCAGGTTCTTAGGAAGAATAAATTTGGTGTTGGGAGTGCAATAGGTCCTAGTCAAACCCAGACGCTGCACTGTGCCAGCTGGGTGACCTGAGCAAGTCACTTTCCTGCACTGAGCTTTGGTCTTGTTGTAAAATAGAGAAGATGGTACAAGTGGGGTGTGTCCTACATGATTGCTGGGACACTAGACAGGGAAGAAGGTGTGACAAGTACTTGACAGACGGCTGGCACGTAGGAAATGCACTTTGTTATATTGGAATTGAGCCCGTTGGCAATTTTACATGTAACAGTTACCGTAACAGTGGTGTACAGTATCAATGTTGTCACGAAAGGGAATCCCTGCCATTTCCATCTCACCATAGATGGTCGGGTGCCATGCTACGCAGGTGATCATCTTCTCCATTGGGCTATGGAGGTCGGTAAAGGACTGGTACTCTTTCAGCTGGGTATCGGTCTTGTCTACAAAGGTACCTTCTTCTTCCGCCAGGCATTTCCAGTCGTCGATAAATGTGTTCATGATTTCATTTTGCTGCAGGGCTATTTCCACACTATTTTGTATTGAAAAAAAAAAAAAAAGCAATTAAGATGTGGGGTTTTAGTAGTCAACGTTACAGTTCTTTTAATAGCTCCTTCTACTTCATCTATAATAATTCTCAATGGTGGGCAGGCCTGTGGCTCAAAGGAGTAGGGTGCCCCATATGCCAGAGGTGGTGGGTTCAAACCCAGCCCAGGCCAAAAACTGCAAAAAAAAAAAAAATTCTCAATTGTATTTGTTAATAAGGATTAACCTCCTGAAACAGATGCCTTAACAGGAAAAACCCATCCTGGTAGTGTGCTACTCAGGACTTCTTTCAAGAATCTGCTGGTCAGCTTACAGGACTGCCCTGAGCAGGCGGCCTCCAACAGCGCCCTGGTCTGCCTCAGTTTCCAGGCTAAAGCTCTGCTCTCTCCAGGTTAGCGACTGAGCACGGCTGCGGCAGTGATGCTGGGCCTGACCGTTTGCTCTGAGGCTCCTTTGGGTCAGTGAGAATCTGTCTGCAGCTCTACCTGCTTGGTTATTTTTCACAGTGGCAATTCCTGGTAACCCCCTGCTTCTAACTCGTCTTACTCACTTTCTAGAAAGTTCAAACTAACACAAAAGGCGATTTTCTTAGGCATATTCAGCACTAACTGATCACTTATACCAAATAGGGGTAGCCCAAATGCATGAATGATTCAAAACAACCAATAAGATATTCTCAACAAGGGGAGAGTTGGAGTTGAGAAGTGTGTGAGTGTTTGATGGTTGTAGTTGTCACCATCCCTGGAAGGTGCTACTGTGTTTGATTCCATTACTAAACCTTGTGCAATGCATAAAAAATGGCCCAAAGTGAATTATTCTGCTAAAAACACTGGCATCGCTCCTTTAGAAAACGATCTGAGGCCTAGGATCACCTCTTACTAGTTCAGGGACTACATCTGACAGGTTCTTGTCTTGACGTATGCAGTTACTATGTGTTTATTGCCCCTTTATGTGTTTGGTTTGAAAGCTCTGCTTCCTCTTGCTCTGAGAATCCCTTAGAGCGCTCCCACAATTAGCATGTCACCCCAGGTTTCACCGTAACGATCAGAAGTCCAACTTTTGCAAATAAATGTGGTTAAGCTGAAAAAGCAGTTCTCGATTATTAACTTCTTAACATAAGAAAAAAAATGGGCTTAGAAAATTAAATATAGATACTAAATATCATGATAGATACTCCTAAAATGTAAAAAAGGGTACGATCGGTTACCTCGGTAATTGTTAACACTACCCGTCTTCTTGCAGTAAACCTCACTACTTAAACTGTGTTTACAGACCCGCAGCAGCAGCGGTATGGCCAGGAGCTGGTTGGCAGTGTAGAGTCACAGGCTCCACTCTGCACCAAGCCAGAACCTGCATTTTCATGAAATCCCCAGAGGGTTCGTATGCACCTTAAACTTTGAATAACTCAGCCAGGAGGGCGCAGGGGCTCACTCCTGTAATCCTAGCACTCTGGGGGGCCAAGGTGGGTAGATCCCTTGAGCTGAGTTCAAGACCAGCCTGAGCAAGACCCCGCCTATACTAAAAACACAAAAAAACTAGCTGGGTGTGGCAATGCACACCTGGAGTCCCAGCTACTTGGGAGGCTGAGGCAAGAGTTGAGGTTACCGTGAGCTATGATGCTACCGCACTCTACCAGGGGGACAGAGTGAGACTATCTCAAAAAAAAAAAGAAAAATGCTTTGAAGAACTCTGCATAGGGCATGCTGACATGTTTAAATTCAGTTTCAAGTAAAAGTATTAGTTAGCATTTTCAAAATCTTATTCCTTTTGGTTTCAGCCGGATTAAGAAAGGAATTCTTAAGAAAGGAATTCTTAAGAAAGGCATCAGATAGATGACCTTTGCTCTGGTCTCTGCATTCTTCCTTCTCAGGGAGGAGGGGGAAGTACTTCACAAGGAAGAGATGAAGACAGCAGCTTTCCTGGGGTTTCCTTGGTTCCTTGATTTCCAGGAACCACATGGCTCCTCAGAGTAACCAACAGAGATAAAGCCTGTTGTCTGCGGTGAAATTCGTATTCTTGTTTTTTTTAATCCCCTGAGAAGAGTTTCTTAGATTCTTTGTGAGTCCCCCTGACGTTCCCCCTCTCACATCATTGCCTTCTCTTACAGATAATGCTTTCCTTGGGTTTGCCTTAGAAAGCATTCTATCAGAAAGAAATAACTCATTTCTAAAAGGGCTTTCTTCTAGAACAAAACCAAGCTTGTATTAATTTGAAAATATTAAATAAACCTTAAGCAGTGTTACAGTTGTAACGTGATATGAAAGCAGGTTTCTTGTTTACTCCTGGCCGGGGCTGTTGTACTATAATTACTAGGCTGATTTCCTCCCTCCTCCTCCCTCCTCCTCTTCCTCCTTCTTCTTCCTCCACCTCCTTCTTCCTCTAATCTAAAAGAACTGATTGATTTTTTATTTTTTTTTGAGACAGAATCTCACTATGTCACCCTCAGTAGAGTGCATATAAGTCACAGCTCACAGCAACCTCAAATTCTTGGGCTTAAGCAATTCTCTTGCCTCAGCCTCCCAAGTAGCTGGGACTATAGAGGCCCAGCTATTTTGTTGTGGTAGTTTTCATTGTTGTTTAGCAGGCCCGAGTTGGGTTCAAACCTGACAGCCTCCGTGTATGTGGCCGGCACCCTAACTGCTGAGCTATGGGTGCTGAGCCCAAATTTTTAATTTAGGATAGCAATGGAAACCAATTTATTGAATATAACTGGCAGAGATGGCCATCATTGGCTCCACCTCTCTAAACTCTGATATCAGCTTGATGAGACCTTGCCCAACTCTTTCTCTGGTTTAGAAGCCCCAAGGCTCTGCTCAGGGTCCTAGTACCAGCATAGGGGACTTTTGAAGACATCTTTCTTTCAGGGCCAGTAGGAGTGGCACAGGAAATAGTCAAAGGGTGAAACATCCAAATCTGAATGGAATTCAGGTTCTTATTTAAAAGGTATTTTGGGGAATTAACAACCATGGAATCCTCAACTTTATTATCCTGTATAAGTCAGTGAAGATAAGGTGGGAGGGGAGGGTGAAGAGTGAAAAAAAGACGACTTCCAGAAAAGGAACCATGGTAAATATAAATAATTGTTAATTTGCAAGTAGAAAAACATTCTCATGTTCTAGAAAGACGAGGCTCTGTGGAGAGAAAGACAACCCAAACACCGTGTTTACAAGAGGAAGGGCTTTATTTCAGCCGAATGGCACAGAAGAGTTCAAAATGGCCGGGCTCCCCGACTGGACTGGCTCCGTCTTTTCCTTTTTATCCCCAGGCAAAAAGTCCCTGCCCATGGGTACCTTTCTTGTTGGTCAGTTTGAATCAAGCTAGAGAACTGGGCTTTGGCCTTTACAGAACCCCAGGCTTTTATAGAAGCTGAAGCAAGTGTTAGTTTCCAGGTCCTAGGAAGTTAAGTTTCTGCAAATTCCTAAGAGCTGAGTTATCATGGGGAGGACCTGGCAGGTGTATCCTTGGGGTCTCCTTGAGAAGACCTCTGTCCTCCTAGACCTTACTTTTTCGGGGTATCCTGTCTCGCTCACCCACTCAGCTGTTCACATTGGTGTGACTCTAGCCTGGGAAGTCTAAGATGATGCTTGGAAATAGAAAGGAAAGAAATATTGAGAATCGGTAGAACGTGCCGTATGTTCAGGTCATATCTGATTACGTGTTTTCATAGTCTCTACCTAGACGTATCTGATTAAGTGTTTTCATACTGTCTACCTTTAGCATGTAAATAAATATCATACAGAGAACTGTTAATTCAGACCTATTGTTAGAAGTAAATATACATATTTTATATTTTATTTTAAAATTAAATAGACAATTTCTTACCCTACAGACACATTGTCAAAAAAGTCAGCGAAGGGCTTTGATTGTCCAACTGCCTCTTTTTCCTCTTCTGAGAATTCCCTTGGATAATACTGCGTCGTAGCATTTTTGGGATATGTCCTAATATGTTAAAAGAAAGGTCAATACCTGAAATTAGGTCAAAGAAAAGTAACTACAGGTCCTGACAAAAGTTGGCCTCTGTGACAATGAGATGATTTTATGGTTACATTTCCCACGCTGAATTTTTTGGACCACCGTTCAAATTCTCCATGGATTCATCTCTAATACCATCAGAAAGCTCTTATTGTGTAAAATTGCCTTTCAGAAATCATTTCAAACATATAGAAAGTTGTGAGAATGGTATAAGGAACACTTTACCCCGAATCTTCAAGTACTAAACAAAATGCACGAACTTCCTGTCATGGGGCTTAAAATCCAAAGGCAGGGAAAGAAGAGAAAGGATGAAATCTGCATATTAAGCCTGGGCGTGGTGGCTCTCACCTGGAATCTTAGCACTCTGGGAGGTTAAGGCGCGTGGATTGTTTGAGCTCACGAGATAGAGACCAGCCTGAGCAAGAGCGAGACCCTGTCTCTACTAAAAATAGAAAAACTGAGGGGCTCGGCGCCTATAGCTCAACCGGCTAAGGCGCCAGCCACGTACACCTAAGGTGGCGGGTTCGAATCCCCAGCCCGGACCCGCCAAACAACAATCACGGCTGCAACCAAAAAATAGCCGGGCATTGTGGTGGGCGCCTGTGGTCCCAGCTACTTGGGAGGCGGAGGCAAGAGACTCGCTTGAGCCCAGGAGTTGGAGGTTGCTGTGAGCTGTAATGCCACGGCACTCTACCCAGGGGGACAGCTTGAGGCTCTGTCTCAAAAAAAAAAAAAAAAAAAAAAAGAAAAGAAAAGAAAAACTGAGGCAAGAGGATCACTTGAGCCCAAGAGTTGGTGGTTGCTACAATGAAGCTCAGGGCAACAGTTTCAGACTCTGTCTCAAGAAAAAGAAAAATACATATTAAGTGATGATAAATAAGAGATAAAGAAAATGGACAGTAATGGGAGTTGTTGCTGCTTTTATTAGCAGTGCCAGAGAATGTCTCACGTGAGCAGAGATCTGAATAAAGGAGGGAATGAGGCATAAAGATACTTGGGAAGAGTGTCAGGTAGGAGTAGGCTTGGTGAATTCAAGGAACAGGGAGGCTGGTGTGGCTGGAGAGGATGGGGGTGGAGAACTCTGGGAAGTGAGGGTAGAGGGGCAAGGGACCCGGATCATGTAAGACCTCGTAGGTTCCTTAGGGATGGGAGGCCATGGGAGCGTTTGGTCAGTGACAGAATCTGACACATTGTAGCAAGATTCCTTTGGTCTTCTGTGAAGAACAGAATGTAGGAGAGAAAAGATGGCTAAAGGAAGTCCAGTCGGGAGAAATTACAATAATCCAAGCAAGAGCCGATGATGGTTTCGTCCAAGGAGGACGGAGTAGATACAGTTTGAAGATAGAGTCAACAAAATCCCAGGTCTTTGGTTTCAGTATTTAGAAGAATATCATTACCATCTTCTGAGATGAGTAGGATTTAGGGAGTTGCTGATTTGAAGACAGGAAATAAAAAATTTGTGGCTGGGCATGTTAAATCGGAGACACGTGGTAGACCTTCAAGTAAACAGATGAATAGTGTATGTGGATGTGGATTTCAGGGGAGAGGTTGAGGTGGAACGAGGATTTGAAAGCCATCAGCAAACCGCTGATAGATGACACCTCAGGGCTGGATAAAATCACCCAGGGATCAATACAGTTAGAGAAAAGATCAAAAGGAACTAGCCTTGGGGTCCCCTGATGTTCAGAAATGGGAAGAGGAGGATCAGTAAGAGAAAGAGGGAAGAGCTGCCAGTGGGTTAGGAGGACAGTAGGGTCGTCCGTAAGTCAAGAGGAAGCAGGGTTTCGAGGAGAAGTCGTCAACCATGTCACACTCTGTTGAGAAGGCCTGAAAATGGACCCCTGGATTAGGCAATCGGGTGTGTAGTGACCTTGTTAAAACTGTTGGGAGTGAATAGGACAGAATGGGAGAAGAGAATGTGGAGCCGGAGGGTGTGGACAGCTGCTGTGAGGAGTTTTATTGTAAAGAAAAGGAAAATTATTAGGGAACAGCTGGGGGGTAAAGAAAGTTGGTTTTGGTGTAAGGAGAACATTCATAACAACACCTTTTGTACTTACACGGCCCCTTTCTCCCCTTTGTCTTTGTTTAATGCCACCAGCTTACTTTAGACAATTAGTCTAATTGGCCACAATTTAGCAGGTTTCATCACAACAGGATCTTACTTGGCCAACCTCCTTAATACCGGGCTTTTCCTTCCCTGCCCTCCAAGCCACACCGCCTGGCTCATCTTCGCTTTAAGGGTCTTATCATTCTGGCTCTTCTTTGCTTCAGAACTTGCCAAAGCACCCTCTTGTCCGCCCCAGAGAACCAGCTGTCTACCTCTGCTATTCCCTCCTCCTCCCCAGGCTGGCTTCCTTGTCCTTCCCACCCCCTTGAATTGTTAGGCTCATTTAAAAAATTAAGCCTTTCACCCCATTTTCCCTGTCTCCAAATCATATTCCAAATCCATGTCTTGTCTTCTATAAATCTAAAATTATTTCAAAGTAAAAAGTTTAAAAAAAAGAACCTTTAAAAACTGCCATAGCAATCCACTTTACCGCAATTCATTCATCCACTGAATACATTTTAGTTAAGTGCTTGCCTTGTGAAATTGATATGTGTGTGCCCTTAGAGTGCTCCAGATCTTAGGCAGACAGATGTGTAAACAAATGAGTTCAGCCTGGGTCACAGGTCTGATGGAAAGGTACCTCCAAGCTCTAGCAGGGAGGAAGAAGTGATCAACTCCACCTGGCGTTTCCAGATCACAGAGGAAAGGGGACTGAATGGGGTCTTAGTGGGTAAAGAGGGGCTTCCCAGGTGGATGAGGGGGAGGGCGTTTTACACAGAGGAGTAGCATGGGCAAAGGCAGGGAACAGGGGAATAGCACGTACTCTGGGGTTGGAGCACAGAGGGCTTGTTTAGGAACAGGGGTGACAAGGCTGGAGGGGCAGTGCCTGTCACTGAAGAAGGAACTTGTATGCCAGTTTAAGAGCTCTGGATGGATGTATTTCTGTAAAGGATGGAAGCCAAAGAAGGAACTTAGCCAATGAAGTAAAAGTCTGATTTGAGGTGGAAGGGCGATGACTTGGGTGGTCGAACAGAGCAGTTGGGGGCAGCGGTAATATTCCAGGAGAGAGATGCCCAGCACGGTCATTATTCCCAGCATCACTTATTTTCTTGCCCCCTAGTCTTTATTGTTCTATACACTTGCGTTTCATTTCCTCTTAGGATTCTGTTTAATTGTTTGGGATTAAGAGTACAAAGAATCAGGTTACACTGATTGCAATTTTTTAAATATACTGATTGCATTTGTTAGGTAAAGTCCTTCATATAATCATGTCCTGCCCCCCAAAGGTGTGCCATCTACCATAACCTCCCATCCCTCTTCCTCCTCCCCTCTCTCCACTCCCTCATTCCCTACCCTCCATCTTGGATTAGACCATCTACTGCCTTCATATTAGAATTGAGTGCATTGGATTCTTGCTTCTCCATTCTTGTGACGCTTTACTAAGAAGAATGTGTTCCAACTCCATCCAGGTTAATACGAAAGATGTAAAGTCTCCATTCCTCTTATGATTTTTAAAGGTATTGCTGGATATAATCAGGTCTTCCTGAATTGAATTATTCTGTGGAGATCTATTTATTATAAAGATCTCTCAAAATAATCATGGGAGTTGCTGGATTCTACTGAAATTGGCTATGAGAATATGCAAACCCATCATCTACTTACCATCTTGTCTGAGTACCCCTGTCCTTGATTTGGGGGATTACTTGCATGCCGACATCTTTTTCAACTTGTTGAAGAGTAAAATTTTTATCCGGGTAGGCCGTGCATTCAATGTAGGCATCTTTTATACTGGAAGCATTGTGGTCGCTGAACTTAATCGGTGCGCCAAATTTCCTTCGTTTTCGAGAAATCATATACGTAGTCTGCAACACGTGTAAACAGTAAAGGCAACGGAGTGAAGTCCCAGAGGAGCGAGGATATGTGGTGGGATGACACTGTGCCCCGCCAGATCCTCCCAGGTCCCCCTGTGGGCTTCCAGTGTGACCCCCAGCTCCCTGTGCTTTCCAGACCCGTGAGTCGCACCTGCTGTGCCTCTTTGGAGAACTGCTCTGAGGCTACAGGGGCCACTGTGCCGCCGGCACAAAGAGCAGGAAGTGACTGGCAGTTTATATCTTGACCAGTAAGAGGCAAGGTAAGGGGCACAGCTGAACTTCTTTCCTTGGGAAAGTCTGAGGGACAACTCTGAGGTATAGCTGACACTCCAGATTTCCTACAGGTTCAGGCTAAAGACCTCCCTTTGCCAGATTGGATGTGAGGTGGCACTCCCGCAGGGCTCCCTCCCCTGTCTCTGTCATCTCTGGTGGGCACTTTCATGATAAATCTCTCAGACTCAAATCCTCCTCACAGGAGTTACTTTGGGAGGGAATGTCACTCTGTGATTAATAGCGTCCCCTGGCTGCCCCAACCACATGCCACCAACTGGATCGCTTAAAACAGCAGGAATTTATTTTCTTATAGTTTTGAGGCTAAAAGCTTGATGTCGAGGTGCAGGAGGGTTGGTTCCTTTCGAGGGCTCTGAGGGAGAATCTGTTTCTTGCTTCTCTCCTAGGTTTGGGTGACGGCCAGCCATCCTTGGTGTCCCTGACTGGCAGACACATTCCTCCAATCTCTGCCTCCTTCCTCACATGGTATTCCCTGTGTCTCTGTGTCATCACATGGCCATCTTTTTGTTGTTGTTGTTTGTTTGTTTGAGACAGAGTCTCAAGCTATCACCCTGGGTAGAGTGCCTTGGCATCACAGCTCACAGCAACCTCAAACTCTTGGGCTTTAGCGATCTTCTTGCCTCAGACTCTCAAGTAGCTGGGACTACAGGTGCCCACCACAATGCCCGGCTATTTTTTTTTTTTTTTGGTTGTTGTTGTCATTGTTTGGCAGGCCAGGGCTGGATTCTGGCGTATGTGGCTGGCGCCTTAGCAGCTTGAACTACAGGTGCTGAGCCTACATGGCCATCTTTTTACAAGAACACCAGTCATATCACACTAGGGGCCCACCTTACTCCAGTATGACCTCCCCTTAACTAATTACCTGTAATGACCCTATTTCTAAATAGAATCACATTCTGAGTTACTGGGAATTAGGACTTCAACACATTTTATTTGGAGGATACAATTCAATCCATAACCCCCACTTAAGACAAGGATCATTCTTCTGTCAAAACAAAACAAAAGCCATATGCCCATAGCAAATAGCAACTTTTATGAATTCCTCAGGAATAAACATTGTCCAGCTGCAGAGGGACATGGAAATCATATTTGCACCTCTGACCTGCTTTGTCGCTTCGTTAACTGATTCTTCCTCAATTTCTTTTTCACTGCCCAGAGAAATCCAGGGTTTAGAGACAGGTGCTTTGTAAATATACACCTCTTCAGAAGAATATTCTTTATATTCTTCCTGATCTTCCAGTACTTCTGGAGGCTAAAATAAAAGAAATCATCTTCTGGAACATATGACCAAATTTAGGCTATAGCTACATGTATATATATATTTTTTAAAATAAAGACTTTATTGGGCAGTGCCTGTAGCCCAGTGGGTAGGGCACTGGCCCCATCTACCAAGGGTGGTGGGTTCAAACCTGACCCCCACCAAATTGCAGCAAAAAAAAAAAAATAGCTGGGTGTTGCAGCAGGCACCTGTAGTCCTGGCTACTTGGGAGGCTGAGACAAGAGAATTGCCTAAGCACAGGAGGAGGTAGCTGTGACGCCACGACACTCCACCGAGGGTGACAAAGTGAGACTCTGTCTCTACAAAAAATAAAAGACTTTACTTTTATATAATGAATAACACACTTTCTTATTATTTATCTTATTTGCTTCATGATTTTGAATTGTGAGAAGGAAACAAAGCAAAAAAGGAAATGAAAATGAAAAACAAAGAATCATCAAACATATATAAAGACGGTGAGGAAAATATGGGACACAAAATATATACAGGGTGTCCATAAAGTTCATGTGCAATTTAAAATAATGTGTACATAGTGTGCTCCACAACCTTTATGGCCACCTTGCGTGTGTGTGTGTGTGTATTCATTGCTACTTTTTTGTAATAGTGAAAAAATGAACAAATGAATTGATGACAGTGGGGTATAATTTTTTTTTTTTGAGTCTCACTTTGTTAGCCTTGGTAGAGTGTCATGGCGACATAACTCACAACAACCTCCAACTCTTGGGCTCAAGCAATTCTCTTGCCTCAGCCTTCCAAGTAGCTGGGACCACAGGTGCCCGCCACAACACCCGGCTGTTTTTAGAGACAAGGTCTCGAGCTGGCTCAGGCTGGTCTCCAACCTGTGAGCTCAGGCAGTCCACCTGCCTTGGCCTCTGAGAGTGCTGGGATTACAGGCGTGAGCCACCATGCCAGACTTAGTAGTATGATTATTAAAAAAAAGACCCCAAGAGCAGTTATAATGCAGTCCAGAACAAACTCGAAACTCGGACTTAGTAGTATGATTATTTAAAAAAAAAAACCCAAGAGCAGTTATAATGAGCAAACTTGATCTAAATGTACAAATATTTATAGATCCTAGAATTTAATAATTGAGTAAAAAACAAAAATTGCAGAATGATCTGTATAAAATAATATAACTTCTGTGTTAATTTTCAATTAGTAAAATATAAAATACATTATTTGTGGAACATACATATATGCTAAAAGTATAAAATCACAGGCCAGAAGGCCCTATAACAATTTTAGAACAGTGGTTACTCACAGGAAGAGGGAAGAGGATACGAGAGGGAGGGAAACATTACCCGTCATATTTATTTCTTTTTTAAAAAAAGCTTAGAAGTAAATTAGCTGAAATCTGAATACTTGTTGATTCTGGGTGGTGATCGTATAGATCTTTGTTATATTACTCTATCTGTTTCTATACATTTATAATATTTCACTAGAATAAAAGCACTAAAAGCAGAAAAGCAACCATAAAGATAAAATTGAAACCATTAAAGCTAAATAAAATACTATTTTAAATTTTAAAAAGTTAGATGATTTTTTAATTCTATAGCTTTCTTTTATTCTTCCTGCTTACTGGACAAGCACACAAACCCCTCTGTCACCCTCAGACGATTTAACACAACCTCCCAAGCAAGATCAGAAGGCCCGCTTCATGTATCTGTCACTTTCCTCGCCCACTTTGAACAAAGGGCTTTACCTGTATAAGCCCATTTGATCCTCATGAGAGCCCTGGAAATGGGTTCTCCTGGTGCCACCATTTCACAGCTGAGAGGCTCAGTAACTTACCGGAATTGGCAAGAAGAGAGCCAGAAAAGGGGGCCAGGGAGGGGCCGAGAGCAGTAGCATTCCAGGTTTGCTGTCTCCTTTCTCACTGGGTCAAGGGTAAAAGGGCAGATAAACAGAGCGCCCCCTACCAGAAGATGCTTGATTTAGCTCTTTCCCCCAGGTACTGCTCATCTATTCCAGGTGCCAGAACTGGTTCTGGTCCCGGGGAAACAGCTAAACAAGAATAAGGATCATGATAGTAGGGAGGGATCCCCAGAGGTGCTTCCTTCTGATGATCAAGAAATAAAAAGGGCTTGGGGTTCTCTTACATTTAAATAGTTTTCCTTGCCCTCTTCGGTTCCAATAACATAAAAATTCAGTCCGTATTTGAAGTCTTTGTCATACACAAGCAGAATCTCATCTCCAGGATATTCCTACATAAATATTATTATTAAAAGAGAAAGTTAAGGTTCAAAGGCCATCCAGTGTATTCCGATACTGACGCAAACTTGATATTTCTCTAACTACCAAGCATAAAGGACAACCATCGTGCTAATCCATGGTTGATAACCCCAAATGGCAAAATTATTTTATTACCTTTAAAAAGCACTTAAGAACGTAATGGGTCCAGGAAAATTTACTGTGCCATTTTATTTCTAACAGGAAAAGAGAGGCATTATTTTTATGTGGTGTGTGGTTGGTAGCATGCTTGGAGATAAATTGGGACTAAAATTATAAATTAAACAATAAAAGCAATATGAGAAAATGAGGGCAGATTCCTATTCTAGTTAAAACCGAGGAAGGAGGAAGTTCTCTGGGTGTGGGATGAGACAGCTGGTCACTGTGAAAGATCTACTAGAACTTTCCTTTTCACAGAGGATCAACAAACAGAATTCTCAAGGAGCGTGGGCCAGGTAGCGTTTGCCCACAGTAAGGGAGAATGCCAGATTTGAACTCAACATGCTCTCCACCTTTTGTTACTCTGTACCAAGAACTGCTTGGGAGAGGACTGAAAAATAAGGAGATTACACCTACCTGGATAACTTTTTTGACTGGGTGGAAATCAGATATCGCACCTCTGTTCTTAAAGTCCTCAAAGATATCTTCTTTTTTGATAAGCTTGTAAGGTTGGTCATCTGTAACATCTTCATCTACTCGGCAGTTAAATATTTCCTGGGTCTTAGTAGTTAATACTAAAGGATAAATTTCTGGATGGCCTAGGAAAGACAAGGTAGAATTTGGACATGAAATATAATCACTTAAAATATTAGCAATAGAAAATATATGACTGCGTGGTTTTAGTAATTCTTCTGATTAAAATTCGAAGACTTTAAAATTATTGTTCGTATATTTAAAGTAAATATATCTGTTATAAAAATGTCAAGAAGGATACAAAAGAGGAAAATAATGCCCCGTAATACTATCCATCAAGAAAAAAATTAATATTTGGCTCCATTTTCTTCTAGTCACTCCATATATATTTTGTATGAAATCCTAAATCCTGCTTTAAATATTTATTGTTCCGTTGCAAGTATTTTACCATCAACTTAAATCATGTTTCTAAAACATCATCTTAAATTAATTTAAATCTGTGCCATAATTTTGAACCATCCTCTTGTTGGTAGGCATTCTAATTTTTTTCTCACTTGTTTCCAATTATTGTAAATAATTCTACAGACAAATGTTTTCTAGTTCATAAATTTTTATAACATTTCAAATTACTGTCTTGGGATAGACTTTAAAAGTGAAATTATTGGTCTGAAGGTATGGCCAAATGTGTAGGTTCGTTTCAGCCGCTGCCTCTTTTCTGAAACAACCCCAGCCTCACCATCTCACCTGCTGGTTGTCTCTTCCCACTACTGGCTTCCTGCTTCACAGAGAAAACAGCCTCAGCATAGCCCAGAATTGCCAGGTCCTGCAGCTCTGCCCACCTGCTGCTCGAGTCAGGAACCAGCCTTTCTGACCTTCCCCTAGGGCCCCAGAGGACCTGTCCTCCCCTCTCTGCCCTCCTTGGCCATCTTGGCCCCGTCGATTTCTCCTCCCCCTTCGAGTTTTCATACTTTTATACGACTTTTCCTACTTGGGTGTTGGAAAGAGAGGCAGTCATTGATTTGCTCCATAGTCTCCCATTTTGAAGAAACCTTTCCTTGACCCTTTATGGGACTTCTGCTCTGTAAGGCTCCTCCTTTATAGAGTCAAACTTACTGTTACTCAGTTCTTCGTAGTTTTCAATTACTGGCTTCTCAAGTGGGTTGTACTAATATACCCTTGGAATTGTGTTAATGCACCGTTGGATATAGGAAAGTAGGTGGGTGGAGGTTCCCGTTTCCCCCCTCTGCCTTCCCAGTCCCAGTACTGCCCTCAGAAGAGGAGGGAGGAAGGGTTCAAGATCACCCCGCTCAGTCCCTTTCCCCGCCCCCAGGCTAGAACCTGGCAGCAGCACGCCCTGCCAGTGAGCCAAAGGGCTAGGGAGCATTTTTGCCTGGTGCCATCTCCTCTCTCCAGCCTTCTTCTCATTTTCTTATTTTTCCCACCATCAGCTTCTGCCACACCAGTTTCAGCTTTGTATCTGCCCCAGAACTCTCTCCCCAACTCAGCACTCCAAGGATCCCAAGGCCCATTCCCATCTTTCCCAAGCACCTGGGTATCCCACCATCCTCCCTCCAACTGCTCAACGCATGAGCCCGCGGGGCGGAAAGTGTATGTGTCCTCCCCATGGAAATATTTCCCCCACCCCAGGGGCTTTACGGTATTCAAGTAATTGCGGGGGGAGGGGGCAATAGTAGTGTGCTAACACTGATTCTATGTGGGAATATTTAGCAAGCTGCAGTTTGTGTAACACTTGGAATTCAAGTGGTTAGTGAATTAGGGGCAGAGTACCCATTTCTATCTTCCTCAAAATATTAACTATAACTCCGAGCACATACGAGAAGCTGAGCGATTGCTGACTTGATTGGAAAACAGTCACTTAGAACAGCTTTGCGTGCCTCTTAAAAGCCACTAGGTGGCGCTGTGAGACCCACACCCAGCTAGCGCCAAAAAGGAGGAGGCGGCCATCCTTCACCAACCAGGCATTCTGAAAGTGCAGAGAGCTAGCTAGGATTGTGTCCTACGTTACCTGCCCCCACTGAACACACACTTCAAATTCTACTAGCTTGAGTTTTGTTTTACAAGAAAATGACCTTTTCACACTTACTGGACTTCTTGGAGGCAATTTTAATATAGGCTTGAACAGTCCTTTATCTAGAAGTCGGTAAAACGAGTAGACTGTTTCCAGCTGGGGTTGGCAATCAGTAAGAACCGCCAACACCTAGCAGCCAACAGCCCACACAAAACTTCCATAGTCAGGGTTCAAAAGGGAATTTATAGAACTTGCATGAATAACAAGCACTGTACTTTAACTTCAGCATTTTAAGTGCTGTGAGAGCAGTTGAACAGGGTCATGGTTGATAGAGCTGGCAAGGAAGGCCCGCAGAGTAGGTGAGAAGGGAATGATGTGAGAGTTGCCTAGAGACCCAAGGGAAGATCTAGTCAGGCATCAGGAGCAGCAAACGCAAAGGCCCGGAGGCAGGAATAAATCTGGAATGTTCTGTGCTGAGCAAGGCTGGTGGACTGTAGGTCAAGGGAAGGGAGCAGAAGACAAGGTTAGAGAGGAAATGCAAAGCCGGGACCACTGTACCAAGTTTCCACTGACAAAGGAACACGGGGGAGTTTAAGCAGGAAAGAGGCATGGTCAGGCCGCTGCATGTAAATGGACTGAAGGAGCCTGAGTGGAAACAGTGATGTCAGTTAGAGCCTTAGGGGCTGGGCTAAGAGAGGGATATAGACATTTGGACCAAAGTTGCAGATGGGCTTGAGATATATATTAGAGGTGAAATTGGGCTGGATCGGATGAGAGTGGGGATGAGTTGGGGAGGAAAAAGGAACCTAGGATAACTCCCAAGTTTCTGCGTAGTGTATTCATCCATTAGGTAACTATTCACTAGGTAGCATATCTTGCCCAGGCACCGTGCTGGGCGCTGATGCCAGGACCACTCACCTGTCACTGACATCCTCCTGCCTTCTCCACATTTCTGCCCCCTCTAGTACCCTGGCCCATGCTACCATCCTCTTTCCCCTGACATGCCACCACGGCCTACTACTGGATGGCCTGCCTCTGTCCTTGCTTCTGCAGGGCCTGTAGTCTGGGTGACCCTTTTAAAACAGAAGTCGGATCCCTTCACTCTCTGCTTAAATACCACCGATATTTCTTCATCCTATACGATTAAAAGCCAAAATCTTTACGGTGGCCTACAAGGAATTTAGAACTTTTTCCTGCTCACCCTCACCGTTTCCTTTCTGTTTCTGAAAGTGAAGTGTGGCATCTAAGTCCACTCTAAGGGAAGTGTTCTCCCTTCACCCCACCAAAAAGTCCTGCTGGAATAAAATGATTTAGCCCTCAAAGGTAGGAACAACATCACTTTAATTGTCTAGGTTTGAGTTTATTTGCTTAAAAATCAATCTCTTTCCTTGAAATAGTGGAATCTTACCCTGAAGTACAGATAAGGATTACCTACGAGTCAGAATTTAAAATATGCTATTCTAATAAAAGTAATAACTTGCAGGCTTACCATACTATATAGTTACAAAGGTCTTTCAGTAATCGTAGAATGGATTTTTAAGGGACTGCTTGGTCTTTATCTATTTCTCAGTTTGAAGTTCTCTTTTCCACTCTTATTTTTTGTTCTTTCTTTAAGTTATTTCATTTTGTATTCTAAATGATACAGTGTAATTTTAGCCCAAGTACATTTTGATCGATCACTTCAATTTGTAGTATTCTTGCCTACTTATTACATGTTAAAGTATTATGAAACTAAGGATGTAAATTCTAAATCGTATTTCCACTTACCCATGACCTCCATATTTACTGGTTCCACTTCTTCATTAACTAGAATATTAAAAAATGATGTCAAAATTACTTATCTGAGTCAAATATATTACAGTTTTTTACCATTACATTTTTTTTCTTTTTCTTCTTCTCTCTCTTTTATTTCTTTTAGAGACAGAGTCTCGCTTTATTGCCCTTGGTAGAGTGCCGTGGCATCACAGCTCACAGGAACCTCCAGCTTCTGGGCTTAGGCGATTCTCTTGCCTCAGCCTCCCAAGTAGCTGGGACTACAGGTGCCAGCCACAACACCTGGCTATTTTTTGTTGCAGTTTGGCTGAGGCTGGGTTTGGACCCTGCACCCTCAATATATGGGGCTGGCGCCCTACTCACTGAGCCACAGGTGCTGCCCTTTCTTCTCCTTTTTTAAAATTTAAGACAGAATATCACTCTGTTGCCTGGGATCGAAGGCAGGGGCATCATCATATGGCTCACAGCAACCTCAAACTTCTGGACTCAAGTAATCCTCCTGCCTCAGCCTCCAGAATATCTGGGACTACAGGCAGGTGCTGCCACACCTGCCTAATTTTTTACTTTTCGTAGAGTAGGGGGTCTTGATGTGGCTCAGGTTGGTCTCCTAAGCTCAAGCAGTCCTCCTGCTGTGGCCTCCGAGAGTGCTAGGATTACAGGGATGGGCCACTGAGCCTGGCCACAATTACAATTTTTTTTTACCAAACCTTAAAACACAAAACATAAATACAAATATACAATGACAACTTAAACTATCTTGTGAATAATTAGAGAAAATATGAATAATTGTCCTTCATACGGAGTTATCTCTTAGTGCCACATATATTTACTATGACATTCATTATATGGCATTTAATTGATAGAAATGAATCAAAAGTCAGAATTAATCTCCATATATTTAATTCTGCATTTGCCATCTTGGTGATGCCAAAAATATTTCACCTTATTTGATATATAAAGCCATACTCATTTTGGCTGCTTATATATGTACAAATACTAAATCACAATATATCCCATTAAATGAAAAGCAATCCTACCAGATGCTACCATGGTTGATCTTTTTTTGCCACGCGTTGGCTGTTTTGGGCTGTTTGGACTCTTTTGTTTTGGGTTTTTGGGTGCCATGGTTTTGACGTAGGCTGTGCAAAGAGATGACATCATTAATAAGCTCTAGTTTACAATTTCAAACCTGAAGCAGTATCACCTAGCGAACATAAGAATACGTTGTCTAAGTTTTGCCCTGGGCTAAATCAACATGTATCTTCACAGAGTGGGTGTTCTGCGACCAAAGGTTTATTGCAATAAGCTTGCTGATAAGATCTTGCTGTTCTGGTGGAACCGTTCAGCTGGAGCACACTATGTGACCTGCCAAAACATCAAGGTTTCAGTCCCAGGCCCTCCCAGGGAAGCGCGACTGAGGACACTGGTTTGCCTGCCTCTGGCTGAAGTTCCATCCCAGGTAGAGGCTTGGTGCTAGCTTGTGCTGGGCTCCCCAGCAGCCACCCTAGATACCAAGAGAGAGGCCTGCCATATGTATCTATGTACATAATTTTTAAATTAACATAATTTAAATTCTACTTTTGGCTTGGCCTTATTTGAACAGTCAGAGAATGCCTTCAAAACAAATAAAAAAGGAAAATAATTACCATCATAAGGACTGATAACTGCTAAAGAGAAAAATAAAGTAGGAAAAGGAAGGGAATTGTAGGAGGGGGAGGTTGTAATTTTATATTAGGTGACCAGGGAAAGCTTCACTAAATGATATGGGAGCAAAGACCCGAGGAAGGAAGAGGCCAGAAATGCAGTATGTGGGGGAGGAAGAGTATTCCAGGTAAACAGTAAATCCAAAGGTTCTGGGCAGCAGCACGCCTGACACATTTAAGAAAATACCAAGAAGGCTATGATGGCCAAAACAGAAGGAGAGGGAAAGGCCAGAGATGAAGCTGATCAGAGCGGTGGTGAGGGTGCATTAGTCAGCTTTGCTGCCATAACAAGTGACCCCCAATTCTCAGCAAGATATGAAGACAAACATTTATTTCTTCTTAGGTTATGTACTATGGGTATGGATGAGGCTGAAGGAGCAGCCCCTATCTGACATATGCTGCTTCTGTAACAAGAGGAAGAACCGCAGAGCTAATGGCTTTCAACACTCACCCTTGGTATTGGCACATCGTCCCTTCTGCTCACACACCACTGGTGCACGCCAGTCATAGAGTCAACCCTCAGAGCAGGGGAGGAATTCTCTGCCTGCTTGACAATAAGTGGGAAGGCATGATTCTCTTACAGGGAGGGGAGGCAGTGCAGAGAACCACTGGGAGCTAGGTCACATGTGTGTGAAAGGACCTTGGCTTTCACTCTGCACGAGGTGGACAGCTTTGAGCTGAGCAGTTACTTTACTCAACCTGCCTCACAATTTAGGGATCAATATGGCAGCCGTGCTGAGAAAATACTTCAACAAGAAAAGGGCTGAATCGGGAGATCCAATGGAAAGACTTTTAATAATCCATGGGAGAGATGAGGCCAACTCAGATCAGGGAATTGAGAAGGGGATGGAAAAAGTGATTGGACTCTGGGTGTCTTTTGTTAAGTAGAGCCAATAGGATTTGGTGGTGACTTGGATGTAGGGTCTGAGAGAAAGGAAGGATCAAGCATGGCACCCATGCCCTTTGCCTAAGGTGCTGAAAGCATGGGTTGCTGTACATTGAGATGGCAACCCCACGGGAAAAGCAGATTTGAAAAGGAAGATAAGAACTTCAACTGGGGAAATGTGAATTTAGCCTGGACCATAGACTCTGTGAGGATGAGGATTGTGTTTTTTTCCCATTGTTATAACCCCTGCAACTGAATGTGCTAGAAAAAAAAAAGTCGAATTAATGACTCCTTAGTCTTCTGTTTCCCTTTCGCTATTCTTAGCTTCTGAATTTCCAGTCTAAACAAAAGGCTTTTGCCCAGTAGTCTATGGAATAACCTGTAGATATGCCCTATTAATTTTCCATTGCTGTTGTATCTAATCATCACAAACTTTGTGACTTAACACACATTATTCTCTTCCAGCTTTGTACTTCCGAATTCTGACACAGGCGTCCCTGGGCTAAGATAAAGGCTCAGCCGGTATTTGTTTCCTTGCCTTTCCTAATTTCTGGAAACCACTAGCCGTTCTTGGCTTACTTGCTCCCCTTTGGTCCCTTCCTCCATCTTCAAAACCGGGAGGAGTGGGGGGAAGAAGGAGCGACATCCTTCTCTTCACATAGCACACTCTGACCTCATCTTCCTTCCCCTGCCACGCACCTTGTGACGACACTGGGCCCACTTGGATAATTCACAATCATCTCCCTAATTTAAGGTCAGCTGAGTTGCAACCTTAATTTCATCTATGACCTTAATTCTTCTTTAATTCAGCCGTAAATTAGCAGATAACATTGAACAGGCATTAAATGTGTGCTACCTTACCAGCATAGCCAGCTACTACTTTCATGACTATTAATTGACTTCTTTGTCTGAATTATTGACCAAGGGTAATTATTGACCTAGTGACAAAGGACTCATGACCACGTTGTGCAAAAAGGTTTTAGAAGTCCTAAATCTTCTTAATGGAGAAGCATTATATCTAAGTTGCCAGGCATTATAGATAAGAACAGTCACTGGCTGAGGTGAATTATAGTCTAAAAAGGAAAGAAAATGATTACTTTGGCAGTAGCCGCCTTACATTGTATTTGTGTTTCGGACAAAATTTTATAGTTTATTTTAGTAACTGCAAATAATAAAAATCCTGCCAATACTATATCTAGAAAATAAATCACTTCTAATTGGAGGTATCCAAACCAAATGAGTAATGTAATCTGTATAATTTCAATAAACACATTTATACAAGTTTATTATTTATTTATTTTTGCAGTTTTTGGCCGGGACTGGTTTTTGAACAGTTTTTGAACGCTCCACCTCCAGCATATGGGGCCGGTGCCCTACTCCTTTGAACCACAGGCGCCACTCAATATGCAAGTTTATTTTTCACGGAGATCTTGCTTTTAAAAAAATGCCAACAAAAATATTACCTTCAAATTATAGCAGGGCTTACTAGATTTTTTCATAAAATTATGTTTCATAGCGTGACTATGCCATATCTTCCAAATCTTGCTTTTCCCATTAAATAAATGAAAAGATCTGAACAATTTTCAATACCAGGTATTACTTTACTAAGATTACTCTGAAATGCTTGTCTTTTTCTGTGCCCAGCTGAAGTCAAGTCATAATCGTTATGAATGGCAGAAGAAATATTTCGTCTACTCCTAAGGTAAATGTTGGGCCTGACCAAGTGGCTTGTATTTTGGTTGGTTTTCAAAGGACTAGAGCTGATTGAATTTCTTTTTTTCTTTTTTTTTTTTTTTTTTTTGAGACAGAGCCTCAAGCTGTCCCCCTGGGTAGAGTGCCATGGCATCACGCTCACAGCAACCTCCAACTCCTGGGCTCAAGCGAGTCTCCTGCCTCCGCCTCCCAAGTAGCTGGGACCACAGGCGCCCGCCACAACGCCCGGCTATTTTTTGGTTGCAGCCGTCATTATTGTTTGGCGGGTCCGGGCTGGATTCGAACCCGCCACCTTAGGTGTACGTGGCTGGCGCCTTAGCCGCTTGAGCTCTAGGCGCCGAGCCGAGCTGATTGAATTTCAAACAGAAATGGTAGATGGTAACACTTAGAAATGTTTCAGCTTTTTGTTAAACTATTTTTGCTATTAAAATAATTTGTTTCCTTTGTAAACGAATTTGTCCACTTCAGAATACCTTTGGGCTACTAATGTACAAAGGTCACGTTTTCTACCTTGGATGTTGACAGCAAAAGACATTAGAGATGGACAATAGTAGGTATTGGGCAAGTCCTCGGTATAACAAGTCACAACCTGTGACAGTCCTTGAGCAGCACGGCATCCCCAGCTAGCTGTCCATGATCTGGTTCCAAACGAACTCTCTGCACTTGACCATGACTATATCCTTTCATGATGCTTCGATTTAGGAGGGTAACTACTATAGATGAAGGGATAA